CTCCCTCTCCTCTCTTTCCCCCCTCTCTCTCTCCTCTCTTTCCCCCCTCTCTCTCTCCTCTCTTTCCCCCCTCTCCTCTCCCTTTCCTCTCTTTCCCCCCTCTCTCTCCCCCCTCTCTCTCTCTCCCTCTCTCTCTCCCTCCCCCTATCAGGCCTGCCTTACCACTCACATAAACACACATTCCCCATTGCCAGACGTTCACACACACATTAGACCCCACGCACATTAGAAGCTTGATGACGACTCCTCCTCCCCTGTTATATTGACAGCGCTGAGCTTCACATACCCCAATGTTATGAACCATTCACACCTACTTATTCATCATCTCCATTATTACTCCGCACATACACTGCGTATTAGCCACAAGGCTCTCCGTGTCCCAGATTGAACATGACATTCTCATTCATTTCAAAAAGGTGCAACAGCCCGAGGACAATCTCCCCAAGCACCGAGCATGCCCTACAAGACATCTTTATAGAAGGCCGTACATTAGCATTTATATTGCCCCAGATAACACCACACATCATGCTGAAACCATCTTCATTGACCTAGCCAGGTAGTCAAAAGGCACTGTGTTGGGTTTGTGGGACTACAAGTCTCAGTGCTGATCTGGGAGAAAGATCAGCTATGAATCCAATTATTCTTCATTATTCAGGTGGATCTAGAACAGCCTCTTGTATGCAGTGTTGGGGTGGATATACTATACCAAGGCTCTAGTAGCCAGAAGGTTGTATAAATGGGCCCTGAATGCCCAAGAATATACATTCCAGCACGCATAGTGAAGGGGGACCCTCCTTATCAAGGTACTATACAGCCCTATATGCATTATATAGGCACTCCCTATTCCCATACTATATAAAGCACCCACATTCCTTGCATGTAATATATAGACAACTGTATATACACCAAGAGAGTATATACTGCACCCAGTGATCACCGTACGCTAATAGACGGAGTATACCTTATCCTCACATACAGTGCCCCGGTGATGTTTTACCAAATACATACCGTATAGGCGGACGGCCCATATCAGGGGACTAGATTCCAACAATGGGTCACATTGGGTACCCGCTATAGAAAGATTACCAATGCAACGTACAAAGAATCCCAACATTTATGACAAGACCTCCTCAGCTGAAACATAATATACATACAGCCGGAACTCCGACCCCAGGAGGCAATATACTCCATGATATACGATATATAGGAGGTCCTCCGAGCCCGCAGAGATGACAGATCCCAATGCAAAGTGCATTCCTGGTCATACTATGCACAGAAGACAACGTATCCCAGCATGCACCATAGGTGGCCCCTCCACCACCACAAGATAGACCAGCAACTATTGTAAAAGTGGCTCCCCTACCCCCAGAACACAGGGTACCCCAGAAAGTATTCTATAGGTG